GCGTTCTCGCCCGCCCGGGAGCAGCGTGGCGGCGCGTAGAGCAACCTGGAGGGCCCGTCCTGAGCCGCAGTGATGCAAGGGTCACTCTCGCGTGAGACCAGGCCGATCCAAGATTTGCTTGGGTTCGATGGGCGCAGGGGTTGCGCGCCGATTGCTTTGATCGGCGGCGAGCGAGGGGGGAAGCGAGAGGGAGAAGGCCCTGTCAGAAGGCGGCGGGACTTCCCAGGAGCCCCCCGCGCCTTTTGAGAAGTGATCTGTGTCTTCGGGGAAGGCTCCGAGCACTTCTCGGATGGCCGTGGGGCTCCCGAGCCTCCCGAGAAGGCCTTCTCCTTCTCGCTCCCCCCTGCTCTTTCGCCGCCGAGATAGGGGCGCTGCGGGGACTGCGGGGCCCCCTCCCCCTCCCCCCTCCTCCTCCTGCTCCTGCTCCTCCTCCTCCTCCTTCTGCTTCTCCTGCTCCTCCTGCTGCTCCTGCCCCTCCTCATCCTGCTCCTCCTGCTCCTCCTCCTCCTCCTCCTCCTCCTCCTCCTCCTCCTGCTCCTCCTGCTCCTCCTGCTCCTCCTCCTCCTCCTCCTGCTCTCGCTCCTCCTCCTCCTCCTCCCTCCTCCTCACCCTCCTGCTCCTCCTCCTCCTCCTCCTCCTCCTTCTCCTCCTGCTCTTCCTCCTCCTCCCCCTCCTCATCCCCAGGCTCGCTGCTGGTCTGAGGCCTCACAGCTCGCGCGGTGTTGTGTCCCGGTGAACGTCCGGGCGTCCCCGAAGTCTCGGAGGGGGCACCCCGCCCAGCGCCTCGCCCGCAGCCCCCCCCCCCCCCCGCGGGGAGGCCCGGGCTTCTTCCCGGGGGGGTTGCCTGGCAGGGAGGCGCGAGGAGGGATGATATTGATTATGAGTATGATTATGATGCTGATGATGCTGATGCTGATGCTGATGCTGATGCTGATGATGATGCTGCTGATGATGATGATGATGATGATGATGATGATGATGATGATGATGATGATGATGATGATGGTGGTGACGACGATGACGACGACGATGGCGTTGACGATGACGTCATCGTCATCGTCATCAGCATCGTCATCGTCATCGTCATCAACATCGTCATCGTCATCGTCGTCGTCGTGTCCGTCATCGTCGTCATCGTCATCGTCATCATCGTCGTCATCGTTCGCAGACGTGGAGAGAGGCGTAGGGCTCAGCGACGGGTCCCGCTTCCATGCAGACTCGGCGCGTCCCGTCGCCAATCTCAGGCAGCATTGGCCTCATTTTTCTGGTCGCACCTTGCCTACACTCCTCCTCATCCTCCTCCTCCTCGTCCTCCTCCTCCTCCTCCTCCTCTTCCTCCTCGTCCTCCTCCTCCTCGCCCTTGTACTAGTCTCGTCCCGTCTGGCTGCAAAAGCCAAGACTTCGCGTACGGGCTCGCCTATAGCAGGTTGGTCCTTGCGTGTCTCCGGGTTTGCTTGGTGCGCTTCAGTGACACCATCGATCGTCGCAGGAGGGTGCGATTGTTTGTGGGGGGAGGGGGGGATTCTGGATGTGCCTTCCCCGATCTGAGGATCTGGCGCCCGCGGGCCAGATCCTGTGGACCCGAAATTCACGCTAGCGTGCGCCTGCGGGAGACACGGTGCGCGCGCGTTGGCAGGTGCTGGCCACGCACAACTCCTACCACGTGGCCCCGCTGGAGTCCATCGTCGCCGTCACGCCGGAGAGTTCGTGGGCGGAAGACATGCGTATCCGAGTCCACGGCCTCGCGGGCGGGGCCCCTGGACCGCGATCCCGTGGATGCGGTGCGTTTTTTTTGTTTGAGGACGCCCCGCGAATAGCGTATCCCGTGCGACCGCGGATCCACGGGCTCGCGCCTAGAAATCCTTGGCATCGCTCGGACGTGTGCATTTTTCCTTCGGCGAGGACTATCGATCATTTGGCGGAACAACCACGCACGAAACCAAAAAACACAGGGAATGGACGTCCGAGCGATGGCGAGAATCCAGACCGCGAGGGCGCGGATCGGGATGTGCTCGCCGCTCGTTGAGGAGTGGAACTACACCCACCCGCCCCTGGACACGCAGCTCGACCGCGGGGTGCGCTCCTTCGAGCTGGACGTGTTCTACGACGCCGCCGCGGATGTGCTGAGGGTCATGCACGTCCCAGGACCTCGAGGGCTCAACGACTCTTCTTCGATCGTCTTGCGGGGGGGTAAAGCCAGAAACGCTGTTGATCATCGATGCATCGCGATGCCGATGCAGATGCATCCATCTGCACCCACTGAGATGTCTGGGTTGATCTGGAGACATCGTGGACGATGCAGCGCAAGACGAGGGGCATCAGAAGTTGTTAAGAACCTTACCGACCAGGCAGCGACGAGGTCTCCAATTGTGAGACACTGCCGGAGTGCCTGCAGCTTGCCAGCGGCTGGAGTAAGGCAAACAGTGGGCATTTTCCCCTGCACTTCATCGTCGCGCTGATCGGTGGGGTGGAGTCGTCCGAGAATTCAGCTGGTGGATGTATGTATTCGGACCTGCAGCCTGCGATTCCATGCGTAGAAGAGCAGTGCGTTGGCTCTCCATTCTTGGGCTGCATGGACGCCCTTCAGACCAACTGCATCGTCCAGGTGTGGGCGTGATATTGCCGAAATCGTGTCTGTACCCTGGAATCTACCCGGTTCCAGAGGACACCTGCTCCATTCTTCTAAGGGGGGAAGTGATAAGGACAAGGCCTTCTCAGGAGGCGGCGGGACTTCTCAGAGGCCCTCGCGCCTTCTGAGATGTCCTTTTGTGTCGTCGGGGGAGGCTTAGAATTCTCACTCAGAAGGCCAGGGGACCTCCGAGCCTCCCGAGAAGGCTTTCTCCTTCTCGCTCCCCCCTGCTCGCTCGCCGCCGAGATAGGGGCGGTGCGGGGACTGCGGGGCCCCCTGCCCCTCCTCCTGCTGCTGCTGCTGCTCCTCCTCCTCCTCCTCATCCTGCTCCTGCTCCTGCTCCTCTTCCTCCTCCTCCTCCTCCTCCTCCTCCTCCGGCTTCTTCTCCTCCTCCTCCTCTCTCCTCCTCCTCCTCCTCCTCCTTCTCCTCCTCCTCCTTCTCCTCCTCCTCCTCCTCCCCCTCCTCCTTCTCCTCCTCCGCCTCTTTTCCTCCTCCTCGTCCTCCTCCTCCGCCGCCACCTTCTCCTTCTCCTCCTCCTCTGTTCCCCCTCCTTCCCATCATCATCCTTCCCCTCCCCTCCCCTCCCCCGTAGTTTGCTTGTTATTTCTTATAACGCTTGTCTCCTCGAGGCTGCCGCAGGTCAGGGGCAACGTCAGGAGGGGATAGGCTGAGGTTTGGATGCGTCGACCCCCAAGCGCCCACTGTCAAGGGAGGAACATCCACCCGGACCCAACCTATGGCGTTTACTAAACGGCCCTGGGCCGTCACCAAACAGCCTTCCTTCTGTGGATGCGTTTCCTCAACGGTTTCGCGTGTCGGGGGGACCCTTTTGAGGTTGGACGATCTGCTCTCTGCATTGATCGCCGATAGGGGCCCAACAGCCCACCCCGCCCAGGAACGTGCGGATTCGCTATCGGGGCCAGTCGCCGATCTATCGGCGATGCATCGCCGATTCCGGCTCGATGTCCCCCCCACACAGAGCCGGCCTTGCCCCTCCAGATGTAGATTCCATGTTTGTCTTCTTGCTGCTCTCACTTCTGCTCCCTCGAGGCAGCCGCACGGGGGCGAGAGTGGAGGACTCCCCCCCTCCCAGCATCTGAGACTTCGCATCCCTGGCCGCTCCGGCCCGCTCACCGCGGCTTTCTCCCACGCCCGAGCGCACTGCCCCTCCACCCCTTGCACGGCCGCCCTCGTCATCGCCCCCCCCCCTCTCTCTCGCACGCCGGAGGACTTGCCTGTCGGTTGTCGGGAGCCTTGAGACGGGGGTCAATGCAAACGGGGGTCAGCCAGAGCGCCCGATCTCGCAGGATGCTGCAGGGCCAGGGGCGCATTGACCCGGGCTTGGGTGCAGGATCCTGCAGGATCTTGCAGGATCCTTCGCGTGGACCTGGGTTTGGGAGCAGGACCTTGCAGGATCCTGCAGGGCCTGACTGACCCGGGTCTGGATCGACCCGGGTCAGCAGATCCCCGAGGTTGCCCTGACTCGCCCCACGCCGGTGCGAATGGCCTCTGCCTCGCCGCCTGACGGGACAAGCACTCCCGAGCTGGCTCTGGCGCCCCCGGCGCGGGGCCGTCGGAGAGAGGTGCTCGCCGCCCTCGTGTCGGCGCCGCGCCCCTGTCTCCCGAGCTGGCCGCCCCGCGCCGCCCGTGCTGGCCGCGCTCCGTGGCGGAGAGCTAAAGCAAGACTGCCATTGACCGCAGTGCAGGCCAGCGCCGCGTAGAGCTCCGTGGTGGAGAGAAATGCAAGCAGCGGCGAGGCGTCCTGGCTCGCCCATGGACCCACCACAGGAGTGTTTTTTGAGAGCCGCCTGTGGTCTGCACGAGCTGTTCTTGGAACACTTCTGGCTGGGACTGTCCCGTTTTGCCACATCATCTCTGGTTTACGCTCTGAGAGCATGGCTTTTGCTCGCAGGACATGTTTGGGTTCTTATATAACACTTCGTGGTTGGCCTCTTGGAAAGGCTGGGGCGATCGGCCCCCGCTCAAGATCTTGCGCCCTCCTGGGTGGCGCGCTCGCGCGCACCTTCCTCCCTCGCTGGCTCTGAGGGCGGTGCGCCTGCCCCCAGTTGCTGCGAAGCAGAACACACGCCACAGCATCAGGAGTTGCTGGCGTTCCGCGCGGCCTTCTCTCGCATCCGCGCGGAGCGCCCCTCTGGCGGCGCCTCCGGCGCCAGCCCTGGCGCGCTCCGATCGCGCCGGGGAGGGAGGCCCAGCGCAGATCCAGGACATCCGCGCGGATCGGCGGCGACGACAGGGGCGAATAGCCCAGGGGCGGGCATTACACGCATTCGCCTGGGAGCCTTTTCGCAGACATAGATCATCGGCGCACCTGAATACATGTCCTGCTCTCCCCTGGGCTATATCCGCTCCTGTCGTTGCCTCTCGGCGGAGCGCCAAAAGTTTATGCTTATGCCGCTTTTTCTTTCTACAGTCGGGGCGCTGAAGAAGGAACCTTTTTCGTTGGGGAGGGGCTCGGTGTTCCTTGATCGTTTTGCAGTTTTCCTCAGGTCTTCCATTGGACATCGAACTTTTACTTAGGGTAAAACGGGGTCTCGTCTCTTATTTAGGGTTCCTTAGGTCAACGCCCCGACTGTACTGCTGGGCTGCTGGGCCCTCCTGAGGCTAGGAACTGCGCCCGGGCCTCGGCGCCCTGGCGCTCGCTTCGGCTCCCGGCCACGCCGCGCGGGCGGTGCTCAGAGGCGGGCCGGGCTGCTCGCGCGGAGCAGCGCTTTCCCGCCTCGCCGCTGGTCGCACGGCTGGCTCGCGTGAGGCTCCCGGTCCAGCGCTGGCCAAGATGCTCTGTCGCGTAGTGGGTGGGCAGTAGAGCAGGGGAAGCTGGGGCTGCAGAAGTGGGGCCCTCTAGGGCCCCTGAGGTGCCCTTGGAGGCCCAAAAGGGGGCCTTCGGGGCCCCATGCATCACCCCCCCCCCCAAGAAGCGATGCCCAAATACTGGCCTGGCACGGTGCTCCAGCTTCGCGCTGGTCACGCTCTCGATGCCCCTCCTCCGCCGCCTTCCCTTGCCCCCCCCCCTCCCCCCCAAGACCCCTTCGCGTCGCGACCAAAAATAGCGACTGAAGGCCTCGTCTCGTTTTTCATTTTTGTTTGCCACCCGTTTCGTTCGAAACCTTTATCTCAAGGCTTCGGCTTCGCTTTGCTTTTCGTTCTAAACGCCAGCGCGTGTTGTCATTAGTCCCTGGTTGTTTGTGCTTGTACAGTGGGGGCCCATGCCAAGAAACACCCTGCTTGCCTCCAGGGTGCCCTGGGTTTCTTGGGGTTCCATGGTTTTGCCATGGGAATCGTGGCGCTCCCGCACCCAAGCCGATGGACGTCCTGGAGTCTCAGGGTTGGGTTTCTTGTGGAAGATCTCCTGTGGTCGTGCCCCCACGGTATTTGCTTTGCCCAGGTGTCTCGGCCCGGGAACACCGAGAAGCGCCTCAGGATGGCACGCCGCACGCTCCACAGCTCACGCCACGTCTGGGGGCTCCACCTGCCCCCTCCCCTCGGAGAGGATGCTGCGCGGTATATGCCCCCTGCCTCTTCCGCCCCCCCCCCTCCTCCGCCGTGGCAGGCTCCCTGGCACGATTCGATATCGATTCCGGCCGGCCTGGGCTGGCTGGATTCCGATATTCCTTGGCTACACGTGAGAGTGGCCCTTCGCCCGAGTGACCTTTGGTGCGGGCTCATCGGGGCCCCATCGCTGAGCGCGGTGCGATAGCGGTTGCTTGCGCGCTTGGATGTGGCCATTTTGCGCCCCGTTGCTCCGCGCACCAAAGGTCACTCTTGCCTGGGGCCACTCCTTCTAGTAGCCGAGTTCCGACGATCCCGTGCGGCTCGATGTTCGCACGTCGCTGTTGTGCCTCCTGGCGCAGCCGATCCGACTCGGCCTCGTCTCCGTGCCCATGCAGCCGGCTCCGAGCTTTGTGGGCCCCGGAAACGGTAGGGCCGGTTTTTCACCGTTTCCCAAAAAATGTCCCTTGAAAATGGAAGCGGCAAAAAAAGGCGACCAGAAACGGCAAAACAACGGCTCCAGGATTGGAACCGGAGCCAGAACCGGTCAAACAACGGCGACGGAACTGGTAACAAAAACGGCGTCGGAACCGGCAAACAAACGGCAAAACGAAACCGGTAAAAAAACGGCCCTGTCGTTTCCAGGGCCCGAGGCGCGTTCCGAGCCAGCCCGACTCCCCGACCCGATGCCGATGGCTCCTGCCGCCCTGTCCGCACCGGGCCCTGGCCATCCGTGCAGAGCCTTGGGCCTCGGGGACCTCTGCCCTCTGCGCTCCACTTGCAGGCAATTTCTGTATCCGCATCCAGTGCGCCTTGGAGTTTCGGACTCTCATCCCAAGAAGCATGAAGCGCACTGGATATGGATTATCATATGCCTCCAGAGGGCTACATGTTTATCCACATCCAGTGCGCCTCGGCCTTGCGGCGCCCCTTCCAAAAAAGTCCAAGACGCACTGGGTATGGATACAGATATTGCCCGCATCACTGGGAGGCAGAGAGGCAGCATCGAGGACGCGCCGCCGTTGGGAGCCCGTCGGCGGGCGTTTCCCTGGTCTTGGTTTATGGTGTTCCAGCCTACTTTCGCCTTGATCGCCAGAAAGAGTTTCGAGCACCAGGAACAATTTCGAAACTCCAGGGTTTTCACGTGTCGGGCCCTGGGAGACGCTCGCCCGACACTGGTTCGACACTCTTTCGGCACTCTTTCGGCACTTTTCCGGGTGCTCGAACTTATTTCTAGGATGCGGTCCTTAAGTAGGACGGGAACAGTATAACTCTCGGGAAGGGAGGGGGGCGCGCCTCTGGAAGGGGAGGGGTGGCCTTCCCCAGGTGCTTCAGGTCTACACCGCCAACGCGCAGTGCGCCTCGATCCTGGGCTGCATCGGCCCCGCCATGGACACCTACCACGCCGACCACGCGGTGACCTCGGAGGACGTGGAGGCTGTCCTGAGGGAGTGCACCTCTCAGGCAGGCCCGGGGGCAACGCTGCAGCGCCTGCAGGGCCTCCCGGAGCGCTCCCGGAGCGCCCTTCGCAGCGCGCGGCGGCACTATCGAGCCACTCTCCGGGCCCAGCAGCTCTCAGAGCTCACGGATTGGCGGCCGGGAACTTGTGGCTCCGCGCGTCTCGCACCGCCGGTTCTGGCCCACCAGGCCGCGGCGCGGCACGCTGTCCACTTCCCCGTTGCCGGGCGGCGGCGCCCCGAGCTGCTCCCGGCCCCCCGCCTCGCGAAGCGCAGCGACACGCTGTCCGCTCGCCTGGCGTGGTGTGTCGTAGGGCCCCCGCCGCGACACGCTGCGCAACAGTTCCCCGCCGTACATGCTCCAGGCCCACCAGCTTTCAGCGGTCTCTGATGTACAGTCAAGACGCTGAAACCAGGAACAGCTTGAAGGCACGAAAGGGGCTCGTTGTTCCCCAGGTGATCCGGTGGTTGTTCCTCTGGCCCTCCTCGTGCACGCTGGCGCTTCCTGGGGCCCGACAGGGGCTTCGTTCCTCATTTACCGTTCCTTGCTTCACCGCCGCGACTGCATCTCATCCCGTTTCCTTTGTGGGCGGGGCGCGTGCGGCAGGTCCGCGTCGCGTCGACCGGCGGCGATCACAGAACGCGGGCGTCAGAGGTCGTGAACGCCGCCCGTGGCCCATGCGTCGGCCCATCGTGGAACGAGGCTCGGGTCGGAACGGCCCCCGCGCTGTCCAGAACCAATGCCAGCAGCGATGCGACGCGAACCTGCCGTGTCCACACCTACGGCGCCCGCGGCCAGGGCGTCTCCTGGCCCCAGCACCACCACGGAGATCAGCCACGCGCAGAAGGGAGGTAGTCTAGGCCACGTGGATGGGGTCCGAGTAGATGGGGTCGGAGGATCGCGCCGCATCGCCGATGCATCGACGATGCGGCTCGATGTGGAACCCGTATTTCCCCACCGACGTCCGATGCATTGCCGACGAGTCGCCGATGCATCGCCGATGCACCGCCGATACATCAGCGATGATTGGCGTTGCGGCGCGATCCTTCGACCCCATCTAGTCGGACCCCATCCAGGAGGCCTCGAGGTAGGGGGAGACGGTATAAGGCTTCCAAGAGGCACCCCTGCTTCTTGGAAGGCGCGGGCCCTACTCTGCAGATGTCAGGCCGGCGCCTTCTAAGAAGCAGTCTCCTTCTGAGAAGCCCTCCCTAAAACAGGGCTAGGATCGGGATAAATCGCTCCAGAGCGTTCCGGAGCGCTCCCAGAGCGTTCCGGAACGCCCTGGGGCGGCCGCGGCGCCCAATGCGTCCTCCAGACCCGCCGATTCCCAGAGATTCCGAGTTCTCCCGATCCGATGTTGTCCCGAGCTTCGCGTCGTCTTACTCCCCCCCTATCCCCCCCGCTAACCCCCCCGCGAGCGGGCCGCCGACATTCGGCCCCGACGCCACCACGGACAGAGCGGGGGCGCCCCTGCGCGGAGGCGCCGCGCGGAGCGCGCAGCGCCCCGGCTCGCGCAGCCACGGGGCCGCGCCGCGGTGCTCACGCCGCGGCGGGGCACGGCTCTGGGCGGGCCCCCGTCTCCCGCGAGAGGCCGTGTCCTTCTCGCCTCGGCGTCGTCTCGCCCGCAGAGCGTGCCTTCGGATCTTCTGTGGAGCGTGCGGTCGGAATCGATGATGCGAACCGGGGACCATTCCAGAGGGGAAGAGACACCCACAGACACAATGATTCGCCGATTCCCAGAAAATATGCGAAAACATGGGAAGTGGGGGGGGGGAAGGCAGAAACCCAGAAAATATGGGAAAATAGACGGAATATTTCTGTTTGTGTGTATTTACTTGTGTGTCCCAGGGCCCCCTTCAAACTTTCCCAGGGACGCCCTCACCTTCCCACGAAGGACACCCTTGCTTCCTTGCCGCTGCGGTCCACGAAGCGCTCTCGGCGGCCAGCGGCCGGCCCCCTTCGCAAAAAGCTTCGACAGGGGCGTCCAAGGGGCCTGCCTCCTTCTCGCGCGTCCTTGAGAATACATTTGAGCATCTGATTAGTGAGCGTTTTTTTGTTCATTCTGTTGCCGATCCTCCCCCCCTTCCATGGAGTAGATCTTGGCTGTGTTTTGGCGCCAGTTTCGAGCAAGCGGAGTCCCTCCCCCATCGGACACGTTGTTACAAACAGTCGCATTGAGCAGGGGTCCGGAGCCAGACCGCCCCCCCTCCCCCCCCTCCGCCCGCCCAATGCCGAAACGACGAACAAGAAAGCGCTCGCAATGGGTAACCTTTCCAAGGACACTCGTGCTTCCTTGCCTCTTCGGTCCATCCTTACACGTTCTCGACAGCCAGCGGCCAGCCCCCCTCGAAAAGCTTCGGTAGGCTTAAGTTGGGCCTGCCCCCGATAGGAGGAGTGTTCAAGCATACACCAAAAATGATTTCGGGGACATTTTGCTGACTATCTTTGACCATGTTTGAACATGTTTGGGGTGTTTGGGATTTTTCGTCCCAACTTCGCCTGTACGAGGACACGCCCAACCTAACGATAGGGGCGTCCAAGGGGCTTGGCACCCTTATCGCGCATCATTGAGAACGCACTTGGGCATCTCATTAATACACCTCATATCCGAAAGTTGACCCAGTTTCTTGAGCACGTTCGCCCCTCCAGCTTGAACAGCAGAACTTGGCCCAGGCCTGCTTTGAGAAGCTTCCGAGAAGCCGGCCCACATTGTTTCAATTCGATGTTTTTGATCATTTGTTGTTCGTCTGTAGTAGAGCCCTCAACATAGCTCACACAAGGAAGGCGGAGCCAATTTCAGGTTCCCGTCCTCGCACCAAAGATGAGCAACGTGGGCGGCTTGGTGTGGCACACCTGCGGAGAAGTGCCCCCTGTCCCTATCGTGTTGGGCCTCCTAACTTAGGCCCCCTCGCAAAAAAGCCAGGGTTAGGATGTTCCAACATACCTTAGCCTGGATCACCAGAATGAATTTCGAGCACCAAGAAACACACACCAAAACTTGAGGGTTTTCATGTGTCGGGCCCTGCGAGACACTCTTTCAACACTGTTTCGACGCTCTTTCGACACTTTTCTGGGTGCTCGAAATCACTTCTGGGATGTGGTCCCTAAGTACGATGGGAGCAGCATAAGGCCAGGGGTCCTTTCGCTGCCAATCGCCAGAGGTCGTGAACCAGGCGGTGGCGCTGGACAGCGCTGGTCAGGCTGGTGCGCTCTCGGCCCTGCGCGCCGCCCTGGACGCCACGTTCCCCGCCCCCGCGCGCATCGTTCCAGAGGACGTCTTCGGCGGCGGCTGCTTTTTTGTCTTCGTCTGGTTGTGGTGATCATCGGGGGCGGCAGAGAGGGGGTGATGACTAGGGGGGGGTGGATATCATGGCGGGGGCCACGATATTTCCCCAGATTTCATGGCGCCTCTTCTGGTTTCAATGCGTCCCTGGCCCCCCCGCTGGGCCGCGCACATGCCGCCGGCCATGATTTGCACCCCCCTCTTGGACACCCCCCTCTATGTGATGACGATGATGATGGTGATGGTGGTGTTGTGGTGGTCACGATGCTGCTGCTGGCGATGTCAAGGATTGTGATGTTTATGGTTAGTGTTATTGTTGTTGCGGATGGCGACGGCAATGAGGATGAGGGTGGTGATGCCGACGATGCGAACCATGACGATACTAATAAGGATTGCCATGACGATGACGATGCTGATGATTCTGATGACGATGATGATGAGTCAGATCATGACCATGATTATGACGATGGCGCGACTGCGTCGGGTGCATCGGGGTCTTTCAGTCCTGAAAGTTTTAGCTTATCCGACCTGGGTTCGAGGCGGGTTCGATGCGGACTCGATATGGATACGACGCAGATTCGTCGTGGGTTCGACGCGGATTCGACGCTTGACGAGGGTTCGACGCGGATAGCAGCGCGTTGGGACAGACACGGTCCCCTCGAAGCTGCTTCATCATGTCTGGTTCGCATGCATAAGTTTTCTTCCTCTTCGGATGCTGGGCTTGATTTTGCTTGTGATGATGGTGATGGTGCGTATGATTGCGATGAAGGTGATGGTGATGATGATGATGCTGATGATGATGCTGATGATGATGATGCTGATGATGATGCTGATGATTATGATGATGATGATGATGATGATGATGATGATGATGATGATGATGATGATGATGATGATGATGATGATGATGACTTTGTAGCAGCGGGGCTTTGCAACCGCTGGCCGAGGCTCGGCCCAGTTCGCCCCGACCGTTGGCGGAAAGCGGTCCGGGTCAGTGCCCCCCAACATGCCCACGCACGCCGACGCCCCTCCGAAGACGGCGGAAACGGTGACGCACACTGCGCCAGGCCCGGGGGCCGACCGACACGTCCTTCGAACTCAGATGTGGACTCCCAGGCGGAAGCTGCACGGCACACCAGGAGTAGCATCACAGGCGCTGCACGCCCACAATGACGCTCCGAGGGCATATATGTCCTGTCCGCGTCCGTCGCAACCCCCCGTTCGCAATCGGCCCAGTGGTCGTTTTCTGATTCACGGTGTTGCTGGTCGGCGCGGGCCTTCGCACCCCCCCTCCCCCGTGCTCCCCTGGAGCAGGCCTTGGCTGTCCTTGGCGCCTGCCTCGGGCAGGTGGGGCCTCTCCCCGGCAGGACGCGCTGTTGCGAACCGTCGCGTTGCGCAGAGGTCTGGAGCCAGACCCGCCCCCCCTCCTCCCTCCTCTTCCGAGGTCTTGACCCTGTTCCCCATCCTCCTCCTCCTCCTCCTCCTCCTCCTCCTCCTCCTCCTCCTCCTCCTCCTCCTCCTCCTCCTACTGGACCCCTGGAAGTCGCAGCCCCAGAGGCACCCTGAGAAGCGAAACCCAAAAAACAAGGACGCTGTCAACGCTCGCCTATGTGAAGTGGACAGGCTGCATGAACTGGCACGGCCGGGCCATTCCCCTTCGGCCCAGAAACAACCGCGTCGGGGTCCACGGCCCCAACAGCACCGCAGTGCGACTCCTCCTCCTGCTCCGTCGCCTTTCCTAGGTCGTCCTCGCTCAGCGCTCGAATGTGATGCTCCTCCGATCCTCGCTCGTCCACATCGCTACCCTCCACTCCGAGGGCGGCTGCCGCGCACGCGGGGTCCTCGTGGTCGCCCACCGCGTCCTCACCAGGGCTACGACCTTGGCTGCGGCGGCCACCAGCGAGAGCACCGAGGCGCACTCCACCAGCTTCTCCTCAACCTCAGGGGCCTCCTCCTCGCCTTGCGTCTCGGGCTTGACGCTGCCCTTCACCGCGGCGCCCCTGGTCGGAACAATCCCGCCTCCGATCCAGGCTGACTCGTCGAAGTTCGAGGCGTGGTACTCCGCCTGGGTGATGGAGTTGGCGTGCCTCTGCAAGCTCCTGCTGCTCGCCCTGGAACTCTACCTCTGAAAGCTGGATCCCATCATCCCTGCCTCCGATCTCCTGGTGACCGAGACGAGGCCCGTGCCTGGCGCGCCGTAGCGTCGCGGGGCTGACGGAAATTAGCAGGGTGGGGATCGCCTTCGTGTGCAGCGCGACGCTTGCGCCTCAGCTTGGTGATGCCGTCTCGTTCTCGGAGGCCATGAGCTTCCACAGCGTTGGGGCAACAGCTGCCAGCCTCTCCTCCAGCTCGCCATCGCCCAGGCACGCCGCCAGAGCTGCGCCTCACGGCGGAGGTCCTGCGGCAACGCCTCCGACGGCCAGCGCGCGGCCACCGCGGGGCAGCGCGCCTCGCCCTGCCGCAGTTCTCCGGCCTCCGCGCGGGCGATCCGCCCGTGGCCACCCGCTCGGCGGCCGCGCCACGGCCGCGCAGGAGGGGAAGGAGACCGAGCCGCTCTCCCCTACGAAGGGGAGGGGCACGGCGTGCACCTCGCCCACCTTGGCGCCCGACGCAGGCTTGAGCCAACATGGCTACGGATGATGATGCTGATGATAACGGTAATCATGCTGATGCTGATGCTGATGGTGATGGCGAGGGTAATGATGCTGCTGCTGCTGCTCGTGATGATGATGATGATGATGATGATGATGATGATGATGTTGATGATGGTGGCGATGATGAGGATGATGACGATGGTGTTGATGCTGATGATGATGCTGGTGCTGATGATGCTGCTGATGATGATGCTGATGATAAGAATGATGATGATGATGATGATGATGATGATGATGATGATGATGATGATGATGATGATGATGATGATGACGACGACGATGATGATGATGATGATGATGATGATGATGATGATGATGATGATGATGATGATGATGATGATGATGATGGTGGTCGCGATGATGAGGATGATGATGCTGCTGATGATGATGGCAATTCCAATTTAAAAATGATGGCACGGATACTGACGATGCTGACGATGATGTTGATGACGATGAGAGGGAAACGGAGACGACGAGGATGGTGCCGATGACGATTACGTTGATGACGATGACGACGATTCTCATGACGATCCCCACGATGCCGCTGCCGCTGATGATGGAAACGGTGCGGAGGACTTGCTGCTCGAAGGCAGCGGCGTCTACGTCTGGCCCGAGGTCGACGACTCGCGCGGGAAGGCCTTCTTCCACGTTCAGACCCCGTCCTCGTGGGGCCAAGGCGACTCGGCGGGCTTCTACTTCGGCGAGGGTGGCGCCGTCGTCGTGCAGAACGACCCCTCGAGCCTGGCAGAGGTGGCCGGCGGCAGGTGGGTGCGGACACGGGTCGACGACGAGCTGCAGGTCGACGTCGCCAGGCAGGCTCAGGGCCTCGCAGGGGGAGCGCAGGCGCTGTCCACCGACTTGCCGCCCGTCGTGGGCCCCTCCTCCTGGGCAGCCTCGGGCGACGAACATGTGCCTCTGTGTGCCCTTGCGGTGTGGGCACGCGAGCCCATGGATACGCCACCGCGTGGATGCGCTCCGCGCGGGGCCGTCCGCGCAGCACCGCCACGCATCCGCGAGGCGCCGCGGCCGAGGAGTCCGGGCACCGCGGGGCCGCGAGCGTGGCTGTGCTTCGCTCCGCCCGCGAGGCTGCGCTGGACGCCAGCACGGCGGGCGCGTTCTGGATCCCCGGGGGCACGCCCGTGGGCTGCAACCCCGTGACGGTCCCCGAGGGCGTGGCGTGCTCGGCGGGGCTGCTAGAGGACCTGGGCTCCGACTGCGAGGAGGCCAGCACCACGGCCGGGGCGACCCAGGCAGTGCCGGGCGAGCCTACAGTGTAGCAACATCGGGCATGCCTGGGGTGAGGATGCACACCGTCCCACGGCGTTCTGGCACGCTCTCTTAGGGCGTTATGATGAGGACGTGCGCCGTTGCACGGCGTTCTGGCACGCTCTCAGGGCGTTCTGGGGCGCTCGGAAGCGGCCGCGGCGCGCGCTGCATCCTCCAGGTTGGCGCCAGAGATTCCCGATCCACGGCGATCCGAATTTCTCCTCATCCTGCCTTCGTCTTATACGCGAGGCGCCACAGACGGTCTGCCTGGCGGACGTGAGGGAGTGCGCGGACGGCTCGTTCCTCTCGCGCGACCCGGCGGACGGGTGCCAGTTCCCGACGTGCCCTCCGGAGGCGGGGACACTGCTCCGAAGAAGGAAAGCTGTGCACACACACACACAAAGTTTCCGTGGTTCGCGCGGATTTCTGGGATCGGCGCTGGACCCCACTCCCTGGCGCGCGGAGCGCGCCATGGGGCGACGCTGGAGGCGCCGCCAGAGGGCCCAGCGCCGATCCAAGAAATCCGCACGGACTTTCGAAAGTTTTACAATTGCCCTGCTGCGCGATTCCGCCACCGCGCTGCTGTTGTTCCGAAGGCGATCAATAAAGAGTGTTTCGATGCGTCGGGGCCCTAGCTACTGCTTCGCAAGATCCGACCCAACGAAAGAAGGGAAGGCCCAACACGCACACACGAACACGAACACGAACACGAACACGAACACGAACACGAACACGACTACGAACACGAACACGAACACGAACACGAACACGAACACGAACACACACACACACACATCGCTGCAGGCGCGGTGGTGGATGCGATTGATAATCCCAATGCTGGCTCGGGCCCGCGTCTTGGGCCAGGGCGGCGCGCGTACACGGTTCACAGCTGATGCGCAGCAACTTCCGACGGCGGGCGGGCATCGAGCAAGCCAGTCGAGCTGCAGGACACCTGCGCGGAGCACGCACACGCCCCGCGCGTGCAGCACCAGAGTGGGTGCTGCCCGAGCTGGCCGAGCCCACATCTCAGGAGGAAAAGAAACACACAGACACAATTAATCCTCGATTCCCCAGAAAACATGGGAAAATATGGGAAGTGGGGGGGAAGACAGAAACCCAGAAATATGTGAAAATGTGGGGAATAGTTTTATTTGTGTGTATTTATTTGTGTGTCCTGGGGCTTCTTCAACATCTGCGGAGCAGATTCACCACGCTCCGGGGGATCTGCATGCCGCTCCGTGCCCCGAGCGAGGTGCAGGGAGCATGCTGCGCTTCGCATCGGCAGGGAGGCGATGCGCTCCAGTCTGCTGTGAGCTGTCCTGGCGAGTGCCAGTTCCTCCAGACGTGTCTGTTCTGGCGTTCCACAAGGACGTGCTGCCCCAAACTGAATGTACGGCTGCTGCTTGGAAGCGAATCTCAAGGGCTGCCAGTGCGGACCCCCGGCTGGGCGCGACTATCACCGACAATAGGGCGCCACCTGTGAGGGACCAGGGCGAACACTAGAAGTACGTAGCAACTTATAGCGCATACTGGGGAACCCGCCAGAGAGTACCACCCACACGACACTGTGGTATAAGCAGCAACAACCCGCATCACTTGAGGAATTGCATCGCCTAAGTCGTAGAGCGCAGGTGATAGGGCAATCGGGCAAGCACGATAGCATCTCGCAACAGCTGAGACATCATAGCGTGGAGTCCATAGTGCACTGCCCAGACGGTACCAGGGCGATGACGAAACATCGCAACAACGTTTGACAGGATGGTTCCAAACAGATGGTCATTGCACCCTCGATGTGCACCATCTATATGGCAATCAGCAAGCACACATCTCCATATGTGTATGTGTGTGTTGTAGCCTGCATTGTCAATGCACAGTGTGAAGTCCATGGTGTGCAATATCATTGGTGGAAGCTATGCGGTGCAAGCTGTGATGCGCAATCTATGCGGTGCAACTTTATGTAGTGCAACCAACGTGCCGCAACATAGCTGGTGCAATTATGGAGTACAAAACGTAAGTATTTCGCAGACAACGTTGTGATGGTCATGCGGTGTACAGTATTGGGGGCTGTCTAGTTTGTCTAACATGTGTAATTCAACATCCAGTTGCCTACTGCAAATGCCGCCACCGTGCCGGTGCATCAGTGCAGCAGCGCAGCAGGACGGAGGTTTACCTTGAGACCCGTTCAAGTTCAGACAAGGCGCTGAACTGTAGCGGGTCTTGACCAACTCCTCCTTGTTCGCAGCATTTTTCTCCTCTTTCTCCTCCTCGCTTCTCGTTCTCCTCGATCCTCCTCCTCCAGCTCCTCCCCGACCTTCTCCCTCCTCCCTTCTCCTTCTTGAGCGCATCTTGGAGGCTTCTCTGAGTCCCTCGAGGCTCTCTTCAGGATCTCTTGAGGCCATCTTGGGAGCTTTCTGGGAGTCAGTTGGGGCCCAGTGGAAGCCTCTTAGGAGCATTTTGGGGCCCCTCGGGAGCGGTTTGGGACAATGCTGGGAGTCTGGGGACGCAATTTTGACGAATTCCCCCTCTTCGGTATCTCCTGGGAAATTGTTGGGAGCATCTTGGGCTGCTTTTGGGGGCCTCTTGGGAGCCGCTTGGGCCGTCTTGGGGCCATCTTGGGCCGCCTTGGGGCCTTCAGGGCCATCTTAGGGCTTTTCAGGCCGTTGATGATTGTTTTGCAGAGGGGGCGATTTTCGAACGTCGCGGGCGACCACGAGATGGGGCGCCTTGGAATACATTATCCGACAACATAAAAGCATGATTATACTTGCCAACGTGCCGCTGAAACGGTGGCGGATATGTGGTGCAGCATGTGTGGTGCAGTCTATATGGTGCATTTGTTCCCCGACCTGGCGGAGGGGTTCCCGTTGTGTCTCCCCTTGGGGGGGTCTGGGGGGGGACCCCCCAGGAGATGGCCCCTGCCACGCGCGGAACCCCGGCGGAAGCCGGCGGAAGACGGCCGCAATTCTGCAGACGCGCTTCGGGGAGGCACGGACGGCCCCAAGATGGTCCACAAGATGGTTCAAGAAGGCCTCTAGTGGCCGAAGGATCGGCCCAAGACTCCCAATATGGCGTCCCGACGTCCCAAGAAGCCCAAAATACGTCCCTAGATGCCCCCAAGAGGCTTTCCAGGAGAGCCCGAAACATCAAAAATCATTGGTTTTCCTTAGGTTTTTGAATGTTTGTTTGGTTTTCGCCTGTTCGGCTTCCCGCCGCTCCAAGACGGCCTGAGAAATCCCAAAGAACGCCCCAAGACAGCCTCAGAGACCCCCAACAGAGCGCTCAGACGGCTCAAGACGTCCGCAAGACGACCCAAGAGGCCTCCAAGACGGCCTCACAAGTGCTCCAGGCACGCCCCAAGAGAGCCCCCAGAGCGGAGTCAGGGGCAGATTTTTGGGCTTCTCCGCCCCAATGACCCCTCCTGAAGCCCCCAGAGACGCCCAATATGGCGTCCCGACGTCCAGGGAGTCCAAAAGACGCCCCGAGAGGCCCCCAAAAGGCTTTCCAGGAGAGCCCGAAACGTAACAAATCTTTAGTTGTCCTTAGGTTTTTGAACGTTTTTTGGGTTTTCGCCTGTTCGGCTTCCCGCCGCTCCAAGACGGCCCAAGAGATCCCAAAGAACGCCCCAAGACAGCCTCAGAGACCCCCAACAGAGCGCTCAGACGGCTCAAGACGTCCGCAAGACGACCCAAGAGGCCTCCAAGACGGCCTCACAAGTGTTCCACGCACGCCCAAAGAGAGCCCCCAGAGCGGAGGCAGGGGTTGTTTTTTCGGGCTCTTCGCCCCAGTAGCGCCTCCAGAAGCCCCCAGAGACGCCCAATATGGCGTCCCGATGCCCCAGGGAATTCAAAAGACGCCTTGAGAGGCCCCCACAACGCTTTCCAGGAGAGCCCGAAACATAACAAATCATCGGTTGTCCTTAGGTTTTTGAGAGTTTTCGCCTGTTCGGCGTCCCGCCGCTCCAAGACGGCCCAAGAGGTGTCAAAGAACACCCCAAGACAGCCTCAGAGACCCCAACAGAGCGCTCAGACGGCCCAAGACGTCCTCAAGACGGCCCAAGAGGCCTCCAAGACAGCCTCACAAGCGCCACAGGCACGCCGCAAGAGAGTCTAAGATAGCCCCTGGAGCGGTGGTAGGGGCCGATGTTTCGGGTTCTCTGGCCCAATGACCCCTCCTGAGGCCCCCATAGGTTCCCAAGAAGCCCCCAAGAGGCCCCAATAACCCCTGCAGATGCCCCAAGAGGCCCCCAAGGACCCTCCAGAGGCTTCCAGCAAGCCTCCAGAAGCGCCCAAGATGGGCCGAGCACTTCCCCAAGAGAGCCCCAGGATGGCTGGAGGCGCCTCGACAAAGCCTCACAGCGTCAAACTGACAACACGGGAACCTGATGAGACCCCAAGTGATGCCCAATAAGACCCCGAGAGGCCTCAAGGCCTCAAGACGCCTCCAGGAAGCCCCCAGCAGCTCCCAAGAGGGCCCCAGCACTGCCCCAAGACCCCAGGACTGCTGGAGGCGCCTCGACAAAGCGTCAGAGCGACAAACGGACAGCCCCGGGACTCCCTCAGGAGGGCCCCAGGACGGCTGAGGGACCTGAGGAGGCCCCAATAGGCCCCCAAGCGTCACAACGACAAACGGACAGCCCCGAGACTTCCTAGCTCGTATGGTAATTTCCTGAGCTCACCTTGCGCCTTACGAGGTCTTCAGCAAGTCCCCAGAAGCGCCCGACAGGGCATCAGGACAGCCCGAAGAGGGCCCCACGACGGCTGGAGGCGCCTCGACAAAGCGGCACAGCGTCAAACGGACAACACGGGAACCAATGTAATGCGCGTTAGCAGCACAGCGCCAGTCGGACCACACTGGAACCAATGTAATGCGCACCCTGGCCTTCCTCTAATGGGCTCGCATGGAAACGAGCTGAGCTCACCCCGTGGCTCGCATGGTCGCGTTCTGAGCTCACCTCCAAGACGCACCGTTGTTTATGTGGCCGCCTTTCCCTCGGGACAGCTGTCGCAGAGAAACCCCAAGCGACTCTTCGTATTGCCAGAAAGCCCTAGAAGAAGCCTCCAGGAGGCTTCAATACGGCCGCATGCGGCCCCCGACCGCCGCAAATTGTCCGATCCCGTCCTCATACAGTCAGACACGTCCCCGACACAACCTCTAACCAAACACGACGGCCCCCAGGAGCCCCCAGATCCTCCAAACTCAATATTGTCGCCCGTCATATGCAACCACGCCCCCTCCCTTCCCTGTGGCTCGCATGGAAACGTGCTGAGCTCACCTCGTGACTCGCATGGTCGCGAGCTGAGCTCACCCCCTCCCTTCCATGTGGCTCGCATGGACACGTGCTGAGCTCACCTCGTAACTCGCCTAGTCGCGCACTTTCAAGACGCATCGTCGTTTTCTCGGCCACCTTTTCTTCAGAAACGTTCCCGACACAACCTCCGACGAAATCATCCGAGGTTTCGGTTTCTCCGCCCCAGTAACCCCTCCAGAGGCCCCCTGAAGCTCCCAAGAAGTTCCCAAGAGGCCCCAATAACCCCTGCAGAGGCCCCAAGAGGCCCCCAAGAAACTTCCAGAGGCCTCCATCAAGCCCCCAGAAGCGCCCAAGATGGGCGCAGCACTGCCCCAAGATAACCCCAGGACGGCTGGCGGTTCCTCGACAAAGCCTCACAGCGTCAAACGGACAACACGGGAACCTGATGAGACCCCAAGAGACCCCCAAGAAGACCCCAAAGGCCTCAAGGCCTCAAGACGCCTCCAGGAAGCCCCCAGCAGCTCCCAAGAGGGCCCCAGCACTGCCCCAAGACCCCAGGACTGCTGGAAGCGCCTCGACAAAGCGTCAGAGCGACAAACGGACAGCCCCGGGACTCCCTCAGGATGGCCCCAGGACGGCTGAAGGAACAGAGGAGGCCCCAAGAGGCCCTCAAGACGACCCCAACACGCCTCAAGACCTCACCACGCCTCCAGGAAGCCCCCAGAAGCGCCCAAGAGGGCCCCAGGACTGCCCCACGACTCCAGGACTGCTGGAAGTGCCTCGACAACGCCTCACAGCGGCAAACGGACAGCCCCGAGACTTCCTAGCTCGTATGGTAATTTCCTGAGCTCACCTTAATAGGTCTCCAGCAAGCCCCCAGAAGCGCCCAACAGGGCCTCAGGACAGCCCGAAGAGGGCCCCGCGACGGCTGGAGGCGCCTCGACAAAGCGGCACAACGTCAAACGGACAACACGGGAACCAGCAGAATGCGTCCTATAGGCATCCTCTTCTTCGTTGTTCTCTGTCTCGCAATTCACGCCCACTTGTCCTCCAAGGTCGGGGGGTTCGTGACAATGTCAGGTTTTCGGTCAGGTTGAGCAAGCAACCCCAACTGCTGTCGCAAGCATCACACCTTCCCAACCACTGCTCGCGCAATCATTCCACCCTCCACCCTGCCTCCGCACCCATGCGGCCACGATTGCGATTGCCGATTTGCACTTGCTAGCGCGTCTGTGCGGCCGCGCTTGCGTGCGAACGTTCGCGCGCAGGGCGACCAGCTGGTTTGGCACAGCTGATGCGGCCGCGATGTGGACTTTCCAGCGCGTTTCAAAGGCCGCGCTGGCGCGCAGGCGCTTCAGTGGGTCAGTACTTCGGGCGGGCGCGGCATCATGATGATGTCGGCAATGCCAGAAGCGATGATGCTCGTAGCGATGGTTGTGGCGATTATGACGGTGACGACGGCAAGTAAAATGACGGTGCCGATGCTGGTGACGACGATGTTGTGATGATGATGTGTGTGTGTGTCGGTGATGAAGTAATTATGTTGGTGATGGCGGCAATGGCGGTGACCGTCGATTACGGTGACGGTGGTGATGCGATGGCGTTGGTAAAGGTCATTGTGAGGAAGTGCCCGCGCGCAGAAAGTCATAACATCTGGCAGGCTTTCCTTTGGCAGCACACGGTTTCTTCATGTGATTTTGAATGGCCCTATGTATGTCGGAATGCCTCGACAACCAGTTGCTTGCGCAGCAATTTCGGCACGCGCCCGTGGCGGCGCACGCGTGTGGCCCGCAGGTGTTATTTGATGCGGGTTCGCGCGCTGGGCGCATGCTAGATCAGTGTAGCTGCACCGCGTGGTGTGATGAGTGTGCGGGGCAGCAGGTCCGTAATTCTTGTGGTCGAACCCGAAGCGTTTAATGATTTTAGGTTGAAGTGCTTGCACACCTACGGTGTTTGGTGTGACTTCGATATGTGCTCGCGCGTGTGGAATTACTTATTTGGATGTGTTGCAAGGTTGTTTGTTGCGAAATCGCACTCTGACATGAGCGACTGTGCACGTGTGATATCATCGGACAGGGATGAGGGGTGCGATGCCAGCCTGGCTAAGATGGAATGGTTTCATATGCAAAATGGGCGATGGGTCAACATCGCATGTAATTGGTAGCGTCCCAGGGGGATCGATACGTCTGAGGAGGGTGATCGATTTCATTCTGGTCTGAATGGGGAACAGATGTGGTTTCGTCACTGCAGTTCGTCCTGGGTGTTGCAATCCATATGATGCACGCTGTGGGGTGCAATCTGGATGATGGGTTTCAAGGGAGGCAATCCGTGTGTTGCCAGCTCTGCGCGCACCTTGAAACACCAGCCAGCGCACGAGGCGGGCAACCGGCGGCCACCCGGCGCACACCGGGACACAACCCAGCCAGAGCACGGGGCGGACATGCGAGGACAGCGGGCGGCCGCCGGGCGAAGCACGGGACACGGCCCGGCCAGCGCAAGGGGGGCGGACGTGCGGCGACAACGGGCGGCCACGGGGCGACAGCTCCGACGGAACCCAGCCAGAGCACGGGGCAGGCCACAGGGCGGCCCAGGGCGAAGGCCGCGGGCGGCCTCTGGACAACGAGCCGGCCCAAGCCCAGCCAGCGCCCGCGGGGCGGCCTCGAGGCGGCCCGGGGTGGCCCCCGAGCCAGCGCAGGTGGGGCGGCCACGAGGCGGCCACCCGGCCGAAGGCCCAGGCAGAATCCAGCCAGCGCGCGGGGCGGCCACGACGCGGCCACGACGCGGCCATAGGGCGAACGCGCAGACAGAGCCCGGCCGGCGCGCGTGGCGGCCCTTGGGTGGCCACGCTGGAGGCCAGCGCACGGGGCCGGGCACGAGTCGGCCACGTGCAGCCACGCGGCGGAAGCCCAGGCGCGTCACAGCCAGCAGGCGCGGCAGCCGCGGGGCGTCGATGTAGATATAAGTAGCCCCCCGCAGGTGCGGATAAGAGTGAGGGGGCGAGCGCGGGGTGGGCCGCGGGCGGGTCGTGGGTGGGTCGCCGAGTGGGACGACGAGAACAACAACGCAACACAACGCAACGCAACGCAACACCATCCGCACCCTCCCCTTCTTCTCCTCTTCCGCCTTCCCTCTCTCTCTACCCTCCTACTCCATCGTTTTCCCTTCTCCCTTTCCCTCCAACAGAGCCGCAGCACTAGGTGAGGGATTTCGTGACATTGCAGATGCTCGTGACCGGCATAGACTACAGCTTGCTGATAGCGAACAACGATCTGCTCGACGCGTTCAATGAGGCATGCATTCAGGCTGCAGCAAGCGCAGCTGGGGTCCAGATTTCCAACGTGGTGGTGGATCTCTCGGAGGGCTCGTGGAACGTGATTGTTACAGCGAAGATCTCCGTGATGGACGATGACGCAGTGGCAGGCATAGAGAACTCTGTCGCAAGTTGGCCGGGCGACACTTTGGCGGGGCAGGTCAGCGGCATTAGCGGCATCGATGCAGTCACCAATGGCGAGCCCATCACCGTAGTCGGTCCTTTCACTGAGGCCGATCTCACAGACTCTGACAGAGCCACAGGCATGTTGCGGCCCCTGATTGTCTGCATGCCGATCTTCGCCCTCGTTTCATTTTGAATGAGTCCCGAGAGGCTTCCTCTTAGCCGAGCGAACGGCCTGTGGAATCTTTCAGCCACGCGCAGAGGTGGGTGGGGGGAGGGGAGAGGGCTTCTTAGAAACACCCCTGCTTCTTAGAAGGCGCGGGCCTTATCTATAGATGCCACGCCGGCGCCTTCTAAGAAGCAGCCTCCTTCGAAGAAGCCCTTCCCCCCTCCCTCCGCCCGCTTGTGCGCGCCGCCAAGTCTTTGTCGGTAGCATACAATTGCCAGCATACTTTGGCAATCCATTTAGCCCTGCACCTGCGCGCGCCTTATGAGGTGGCGCTGGGGCATCCTGCTTGGTCGGCCTTAGTTCGTCTTCCTTCTATGGGACGGGACGTGACGCCAACTGGGCATTGGAATGTGATTCGGTCAGAGTTTGCGTCGCACACCGCGAGCGCGGACTGCGCGATGCGCTCTGAAATCCGGCGCCTCGTCGCCGCAACTGCAGCACCCCAGACGGTGCCCATGCGCGGGAGAGCCCTGTCTTGTGCCTTGTCCAGCTCCTCTCCCCGCTTCGATGTGGCGAAAAAGTTTGTGCTGCGCTTGTGGAACTCCCTCCTCGAACTGGCCACACTCGCTGGCGGTGGCGAGCTGCGGAGAAACACGGAACCCGTGTGCGCTCTCACAGGATTGGCGGAGGCGCCCCAGCGCATCCGCCGTTCCCGCTCTTGCCCTGCTCCAGACGCCCTCCGGGTGACATCGGCTCCCGACCTGTTTTGTCCCCACAATGTTTCGGCGGCGGCCAAGAGGGGGGTGATGACCAGGGTGGGTGGGTATCATGGCGTGGGCCATGATATCTCCCCAGATTTCATGGCGCCTCTTCTTATTTCCTTGCGTCCCCAGCCCCCCCCTGGGCCGCGCACATGCAGCTGGCCATGATTTGTGCACCCCCCCTCTTGGACGCCCCCCTCTTGGCCGCCCCCGAATGTTGGCATACAGTCGGACCGAGGTAGAAGGTCGAGGTCGGTTCGAGGAGGGTGCCCTCGTGTTCTTCGTGCCTGTTGGAGGCTCTCGTGCACCTCCTGGGGAGGGTACCCTTGCATGTTCTGTGTGTGTGTGTGTGTGTGTATGTGTTTTGGCCGGCGGAGGGTCTCAGGTTCAGGAAGGATGTTCTTCTGGCCTAGGTCCGACTGCAGTTGTCCCCGCCATCGCCATTCTGCAAGCAGCGGAAGGTCTGCAAGCTGCCGCGCGGCGTGCCGTGCGAGCACGCCGTGCCGCACCGTGCCAGGCCGTGGGGTCCCGTCGCACTGCCGCGCCGGCCCGTGGCGTGGGGCCATGTCGTGCTGCGCCGTGCAGCCAGGGCGTGGCCTTCTTGACGGGAGGTGCCGCGCTGCCCCGCCGCCGCGCTGCGGTGCCGCACCGCGCCGCGCCGGGCCGCGCAGTGGGCCCAACTTGGCGTGCCGAGCCATGCTGCCACGCCGTGCCGTGGCGCGCGTGCCGTGGCGTGCCGTGCCGTGGTGTGGTGCCGTGCCGTCTCGTGCCCGTGGGGCACGGGCCTGCGTGAGCCTGCCGTGGCCTGTGCCGTGGTGTGGTGGCCCGCCCGGGCCCGCCGCCGTGCCGTGCCTATGCGCCGTGCCGTGGCGTGGCCGCTGTCGCCGTGCCGCGCCGTGGGGCCGTGGGCCAACAGCAGGGGCGGCTCGTGAGCTTGGCCGCCGGGGTGCCTGTGGCGAGCAGTGCCGTGCTGTGCTGCGCCCCACCGCAGGTGCAGTGCTGTGCTGTGGCGAGCTGTGCTGTGCTGTGCCGTGCCGTGCCAGGCCGAGGTGCTGTGGCGAGCAGCGCTGTGCTGTGCCGCGCCGTGCCCCACCGCAGGGCCAGCAGAGGGGGTAAGGTCGCGTGAGCGACGAAAGAAGCGGGGTCCAATTGCGCCGACATGGGCGCGGTAGCTGTCCGCGTAAGGTCGCGCGTAAGCGCCCTCGTCCCCTGGGTGGCGTGCCGCGCCAGCGGCCTGCGTGAGCCACCGCGTAAGGTCGTTGCGTCATCTCGCGCAAAGGCAATTCTTGATCTTCGCTCACGCTGTGGAGGTGCGGGGGCTGTGCTGCCCCGCTGCTCAGTAGTTCGGGACTTCTGGCCATAGGTCCCCCGCGCCCGGCCCGGCCACCCTGCGAGGCTCTGGGGTTGTCAACAGGCCACCTCTCCGATCCCGGCCAGGCCCATCCTGGGCCCAAGATCTGCGTGCATGCGCCTTCTTGGCCTCGCCAGGGGGGGGCACACACATACACAGACACAGACACAGACAGGCACAGACACAGAAGCAGACAAAGACACAGGCACAAGCACCGACACAGACACAGGCACAGGCACAGGTACAGACACACACACACATAGACACACAGACACATAGACGCTCAGACACACAGACATACAGAAAGACACAAAAAGAAACACACACACAAACACACGCACGCACGCACGCACACAAACACAAACACACACACACACACACGAGCGCACGCACGCACGCACGCACGCACGCACGCACGCACGCCCGCCCGCCCGCCCGCCCGCCCGCCCGCCCGCCCCCCCACCCACCCACCCACCCACCCACCCACGCACGCACGCACGCACGCACGCACGCACGCACGCACGCACGCGCACGCAGCACGCACGCACGCACGCACACACACACACACACACGCACACACACACACACACACTTTCACACTTTCACACACTTTCACACACACTTTCACACACTTTCACACACTTCACACATTTCACACACTTTCACACACTTTCACACACTTTCACACACACACACACTTTCACACACACTTTCACACACACTTCCACACACTTTCACACACACTTTCACACACACTTTCGCACACACACACACACCCACACCCACACCCACACCCACACCCACACCCACACCCACACCCACACCCACACCCACACCCACACCCACACCCACACCCACACCCACACCCACACCCACACCCACACCCACACCCACACCCACACCCACACCCACACCCACACCCACACCACACACACCACACCACACACACCACACCCACACCCACACCACACACACCACACCCACGCACACGCACACACGCACACGCACACGCACACGCACACGCACACGCACACGCACACGCACACGCACACGCACACGCACACGCACACGCACACGCACACGCACACGCACACGCACACGCACACGCACACGCACACGCACACGCACACGCACCGCACACGCACACAGACAGACACACACAGACACAGACACAGACACAGACACAGACACAGACACAGACACAGACACAGACACAGACACAGACACAGACACAGACACAGACACAGACACAGACACAGACACAGACAGACACAGACACAGACACCGACGCACACACAACCACCCACGCACCCACACACACAAAGACACACACACACACACGCACGTGCCGCTCTTGCGCTCAGGATCAGTGAGGTGGACGGTTGACCCCCCCCCCCGACGGGGCGGCTTCACTGGGGCCTCCTGCGTCCTGGTCTGCCAGCGGGGCTCGCCTCCGCTGGCCACGCAGGGCCCCGCCGATCCCGATCCCGAGGCTCTCCCCCAGGTGTCTCGGTGCTAGCCTCCCAGCGGCTACCAGGACGCCGGATACGGTAGGCTCGTGTCGTGCCGACGTCGCAGCGACACCGCCGCGGGAATTCAAGGCCGCACGCTGCCAGCGGCCCAGAATCAGCCGAGGTGGAGCGATCTGGCGATCGACATGCCGCCGGTCGTCGCAGGCTGAACGATCCACGCGGTGTCAAAAGCCAACGCTGGGGTCGTTACGACACGAAGCCGCCGTGCACATGCTGCATGCCACAGAGGGCCCCGACAACGGCACGCCTGGCCCTCAGCGAACGGCGGCGGAAGGCAGCGGAAGCAGCATGGCGGCGGGTCCGCCCTCCGAAGCAGGCGGAAGGTCGGCGGAAGGCGGCAGAAGTAAGAGTGAGATGTCAAGACAGTCCACCCGTTTATTATGGATGGGCAACCTTCCCAAGGGTACCCATGCGTCCTTGCCTCCTCGAGCCATCCCTGGCCGCTTTCGCTGGCCGCCCCCCGCTCGAAAAGCTTCGAAACGGCCTTCCAAGGCCCTTGCATCCTTATCGTGCGTCCTTATGATGCAGGTCGACAGTATCCTTGGGCTCGCCTGCCTCGGCCACATATGACGCGGCCTGCCTGGACGAGGGCAGGAGACACGTGCGGCCGCACGTCTTTCCAGCGCTCGGTCGAGTATCCAGGGAGTTGTTTCCAGATGCTTCAGATGTGAGTCCAGCTGATCGGTGCAGCACTTCCTGGCTTCCTCCTTCTGAGGGCGAGGCGGGTCGACATAGCTACGAGGAGCTCAGCTCAGGCCTCGCCCAGTTTCTCCGCACCTCTTGGACTGTTCTTCCCCGCCCCACGGGATCGCCAGCCGTGAAACTGCGGGCCACTCACCACCAGATCGACCAGCGAGGAGTCGCACCACCCTTTGCGTCAGGCACCCCGGATTTGCCAGCACACGCTACTTGGAGAATGCCTCTCAAGTGGTGCCGCCTCCGATTCTCGGGACATCCCCATCACTTTGCCACACATGGGTTTGCCCCGATCCTCTGGCCCTTCCTCGTTGAGCCGCCGGCCTCTCTGGCCGCCGAGGCTCCGCGGGGGGCTGGGGGTGGTGGCTTCTGGTCCTGCTTCCACCCGCCCCTGGGCATAGCCGGGCCATTGGGCCGAAGATGTCGGTGTGCACATCCCCCCGGGGACATATCCAAACTCTTTGTGTCAGAAATGCAACCGAGCTTCGCTGACGAGTTCTGGCTCGCCTGAAGCCCTTGTCACTGCAGAGGTGTGGGCCCTGGGGAGAGGGGTGGACAGAATCAACGGTTCTTGTTTGCTGCAATCCTCTGCCCTGCCTGAAAAAGCTCTCAAGTAGTGAGCGCTGCCCAATTGAAAAGCCAGGCTGCGGTGCCTTCGGCTGGTGAGGGCGGTTCGCCTGGTGAACT